GTTGTGGCTTTTTGCCAAGCAAGAGAGAGGAAGGAGTTATTAGAAGCAGGCCGCTTGCCATAGTAGTTTTACTCGGTTGCTGGTTGCCTTCAAGGCCAGAGGTTTAATCCTCTTGATAATTTTAAACGTATCGTAGTTTTAGCAACTCTCTGTACTACATACGGCTTTTTGTTAATTATCGGCCAATCTTAAAGTAGACACTTGTATATTAATCCAAAGTTAGTTTAGTTAGAGTTTTAGTTAATATTTTTATATTCTTACGTTCAGACCACAAGTGGTTGGTCTCTGTATTCCGAAGTCTGGAAATCTCTGTAAAGATAGAAAAATAAAGGGTTTCGTATACCCTTCCTGTGTGTATTGTCTACTTACACACAGGAATTTATTGAACATAGCTTTAGTACAATTTATTGAACATAGCTTTAGTAAGCTCCCTGTTCCGAGTCAGGACAGTTAATGTTTCCAAAGCAAGTAAAGAGGAGCACCAAACCTGATAGGTTATTTTAAATAATAACGTTATAAACATTCTAAATGTAGTCCTTCTAGCAACAACTGAATTTCGAATTCGATAACTGATAGAAATTATCCACATTTTTTATAATGGCATTGAAATTTTGTCTTTTTGTTGCAAAGCTAATCATAAAACTACGAAATCCAAGTGTAAATGTTATTGTAAATTGTACGTGAGGTGTTTTGGGAACATTAAACTAAAATTTTACCTTTACCTGTTTAACAGGTTTTGTACAATAGCCGTTTTCACAATATTCCTTACAAATACGTCATAAACGTAAATTCATATATGCTCTAAGTAATAAATAGGGTACAATTTAACACGAAACAGAGAAAAGCTGCAGTTATTTAAATTTTGTTTATTTTTGAGATTTCGACATAACATATTAAAATTAAAATTTCAAAATAAGGAATTTTATTAATCTGCTGTCTGTATTAAATGAGAATTTAAGATGTTTGCGTAAATTTATGACAGACACTATTTAAATCTACCATCGGTATTTGCATAGATCCTAGACACTTTCAACTAAAGTACTGCTTATTATTCTCCTGAAGAATTTCGCCTCAAACTTCTAAAATTTCTAACGGACTCTTTCATAAGATGGGATAAGAAATATCTCAACTAGTGTATAAAGAGACCCGTAATCCTTCAGGGTTTTGACTTTTAGCTTGGAAACTAAGAAAAATTCTTAAATCGAACTTTTAAAGGAATGCCTGATTTTGCATTATCAATTTGTAACGATCGGATGTTCTCTCTTGCATACGTTAGCTAAATGTAAATTCCATATAAGGTAACTTATGGAGTTTCTTATATTAAGTGCAATGCATATGCGTAAGCTCTAGCTATTAAAAGGGTTTTAAAGGGGAGAACTTCAAAGTCTAATTTTTATTTACTCACATGGCTGACTTATTACTCACGTTTTTATTTGCTCACATAGAAACAAATAAAATTTATTTCATATTTAACTAATTAGTTTACATGTCATTTAATTACTTAAAAATTAACTTCTATAAAATGCAAACTACTTTCATGGCATTTTGCACCTTGCTTAATAATTAATTGTAAATATTATTTTGGCATGAAATAATTTATGCAGAGTGTGTCTTTCTTAGTGCTCAAAGAAAGAAAATTTAACCAAATTTCTTTTGCGTGATTTATGTTTATTTTGATTATGTGTAATATGTTTGCTGTTCCAACGGTTACTTTAGATTTTGTTCACATAATAAACTGCAGATACAGTAACAAATTACCTAGAAATTGAATGACTCTTGCATTAAGTTTCGCAGAGTCCACTGCATTAATACAAGAATGACATTGGAATGATTTTAATTTCTACATGCAATTGAAGCGAAAAAACATACTTTTGATCAACTTCACTGTTTGAATTAACATTCTGTTAAGCATATTTTTACGTTATTTTCTTCCTTCACGTTCGTACTGGGTTCGTGAGGATTTGGAGTGAATAATGACAATACTACTTGATGAAGTATCGAAACACACTTTATTCACCAATATTAATCAGGACAGCTCCAAAACACTTTTACAGTCGTCGAAGATCTACAATAAATGCGCTGGAACAATCAGCGACACAGCCTTCACACTGTTAGGCAATAATGGTGGACACAGCTTCACTGCAAAGCACCAGAGTACATCTTCCAACTCTGCTTGGTCGTTCTCAGAACTCCACGTAATCTCAAGACTCTCCACGCGATGCACTCAACGATACACAAGAGTATAGCTCTCGGCTCAGCACAGTTTAAGACAAAACTCGACGATGCACTAATTCGCGATGCATTAAAAGACTCTCTCGATGCACTCGACGACGAACTCGGCGCTAGACTTCGAGACGCTCAATGACTGACTATCAGCTCGCTAGACGAGGCACACACACCGTGGCCTTCGAGATTAGATGGCCTGGTCAGCTGCAGAATCACGTGATTTGACGTCACGTAAGGCGTCTGAACTTTCACCCTTCGCACTGCATTGTGTGGACACTGCAAGCGCAGACTTCTTATTACGTTGATTGCGTGCTGTATTTTTTTATTATTCGTGTCTTTTTATTGCTAAATTTAAGTAATGTTGTTAAGGATATTTTCGTTTTTAAATTGAGATTACTAGTTAACTTATTTGTTAACAAGAATAACGATCGACGTCTATGTAGAGCTGTCTTCATCATAACTGCACGATGTTGCGTTCCAGCATGCAAATCCAATTACGATTTCACCAATGAATAAGTATTCAAATTTCAAACAGATACGGTAAAACGGGATTTATGGATCAAAAAAATTCCAAGGAAAATTTTTATTCCAAGTGATAGCAGCGTTGTGTGTGAAAAACATTTTCGAAAAGATGATATTATTCGCTATGATTATTTACCAACAAACGAAGGTACTTTTATTCAGATGTGCAGAGGGCATCCTAAATTAAATAACGATGCTCACCCATGCAGTTTTTCTGGTTGTCCAAAATACTTATCTGAAAGTCCAACCCCTCAGAGGATGAGCAGGGAGGAAAAAGAACTAAGATGGAGAAGCATATTTTTAATGAATTTTTGAGAAAGGACAAAAATAGCATCATTTGAGGATTTTTTCTTCTATGTTACCGAATAAGTTAAATATTTCAGATACTTCAAATATTATTTTACACAATCTGCTGCTGCTGGTATTTATATTTTATTGCTCAGTTTTCATCCACATCCTAAAATTGAGAAAAGTATCTTTGTATCGCTTCATATGGATATAGCAGTTTTATATAGGAGATGAAGTTGTTCCAGTTGAAAGTAAGAAGAACCAGTAAAGAAGATAACAACAACATTCTTTACTGGTCAAGCTTACCGAGATATATGTACAAAAACATTAACATGTTTGATGTTCATGAAACTTGTTTAATGTGTGGAATTCTCTTTTCTAGCAGATTAAAAAAAATAATGGCACCATTTCAAATATTGTTTAAAACATATACTAAAGTTCCTCAAAACAATATGCATACAAAAATCGATGAAAGTAAACTTAAAAAAGTCAAGAATACGTGATGAAAAGATATGAGTATGTAAATGACATTGTTTTATTTTTTAAAAATAGTGTACTAAATATGATGCAGTTCAAATATATTTTCAATAATGTATCTTTTACATTTAAATTTATTAATCCTTTTGCTGTTTCCTTATTATTTGATAATACTTCATAATTTTTCAAAATAAATTATCAATTGCGATTAATTATTGCTTCAGTATACTACTACAACTTGCACAGTATTTGCTAATTAGACAGAAATGATGGTTTTTCTATGTATAGTTGTTTTGCGGGTTTCGTTGGTAAATTTATTGATTTTACGCTTTTGTGAAACATTATATGGATGGCTTTTATTTGTAAATATATCATTTATTATGCAGCTACTGTCTGTCTACGGTAAGAACAGCTCTCGCCAGTTTGTCTGCGGCTGTCTGTTGCCGTAGAAACGAGCCGTGACCCATTTTTCGTAGGGGTGTCTTGAAGATTTAATTCTCAGTTTGCCACCTTGGCATATTTAAAGATGATTTGGCGATATTCACATTTTGTTTTAGTTTCAAGTAAAATGCTCGTTGACCCTTTGCGTCGACCCCGACATTCAATTTCCGAAAATGAAAATTCGATGGTGTAAATAAAGTTTTTTGCAGTTAAGAAACAGTCTTTGATTTTGCCGTGTGAGGTACAAGTCGCTGAATTTGCCATCCTTCTAGATGTACAATGAGTAAAAAATATATCAAAAATAACTTGTAGGGAAATGCATTTAAAAAATCCGTGCTTATTTTTGAAGAAAAATGCTCTCAATAAATACTTTTTGCGAACATTTCTTCTTTTCCCATACCTTCGAACTAAAACCAAAAGGTGGTCAATTTAATGACGAAAGGAAGCGAAGGTAAATTAAAATCAAAACTGTTTTTTACTTAATTACCAGTGGTTTGGGTTGGTTTATATGATTACAGAAAGCCTCCAGGGTTAAATGCCTAAGAGGAGGGATGCCTTCGTGGAGGGCTTGCTAAGGAAAACTGCCTCGTATACACGTTACACATGGGGAAAACACCCATGCAGCCAGCCCGTTCACGGGATTCAAAACCTGAGACCGAACTACAAGTGTTCAGTGACTTTACCGATCGGCCGCTGCTAGGCCTCTTAATTACCAGCGCCCATTTATGCATCATGCTGCTTTTTATAGACACTGTAATAGCTTGTAACATAATAAAATGTTAAAATCAGAACAAAATTATATGTTAAAATCAGAACAAAATTATATTAGGTTTCTTAAATTATTCAGTTACCTATTTTATATTTAAAATTATACGAAATTTATATAATTATACAAAATTTGGCTTTTATAACTGCAGTGAGCATTGTTGCATTAATATAATTTTGTATTAATATTTTCATAATAAAACAAAACTTATTTAATTTCAATTAAAGATTAAAAATTATTTTTTAAGCAAATTATACCATGGCTTGTGGGTCCCCAAGAACACAGTAATGGGAAATGAAGCAACCATTCAGTGTTCTTTATTATCCACAGGGGGGGTTTCGCCTCTGCCGAAGGCTCATTGTTGCCCACTTTTGGTAATCTTTCATTTACATAGTGGCAAAGAAAATATTGAACCTAGAAATATCCTCACAACTTGACAAAGCTATCAGATGAAGAAGAGGGATGCCTTCGTGGAGGACTTTTATAGAGGTATAAAATCTGAAAAGTCATCCGAGTCACTGTCGCAAGATTCCGTTTCTTCTGAATCAGAATCAGAATCGCTGCTGCCAGTTTGAATTATTAATCCATCCACTATCTCTTCTAAAAGTTCGTCCTTGTCCCAATAATAATTTTCAAGTTTTTCTACGTGGTTGCAGTGCGCCTGCCATTCTTGAGAAGTGACTTCATCCAAAGCTTTTTGTGTTAAATTTTTCAAATTTTCCAAGCTTAAGTCCCCAGTCACATTCCTTTCCCTGATCAGTCTTTTAACTGATGACCAAACGTATTCAATTGCGTTTAGATCACAGTGGTAAGGAGGGAGACGCACAACATGATGCCCATTTTCCTTTATGATGTTGTCAATTTTATATATTACTTTTTTAGGACGATTGCATTCTATTAAGCTGAACAGTTCCGCTTTTTCGCATTTTGGGATCGCAGCATATCGTCTTCTTCATCAGCCAATTTACAATTGTTTGCTTTGTAGCATATTTCGTGGGTGTCGGATCTTCAATTTTTGTGTGATACGGGGCATTATCCATGCATACCACACTTTGAGGTAGTAAATTTGGAAGAAGCTTTTCCAACACCCATTTTTCAAAATTTCCATAGTTCATTTGCCCATGGTAATCCCCTGCTTTGAGCTGATGCTTTATAAATAAGTTGGGCACCTGGAATAAATCCTGCGGAAGAGCCAGCATGGACAACAATCAGTCTATTTTTGGAACTGACATTTATCTGTGCGCCCAAAACCGTATCATGCTGCCAACATTTCTTAAAAGTTAAATTGCTGTCAATCCATGTTTCATCGATGTAAACGATGTGGCGTCCACTTGCTCTGAGTTTCCTCATTTCGCGTAAATAATTGTTCCTCCAAAATACAATGTGAGGTCTTTCGATAAGAATTTTTCTTTTGTTAACACATTTCTTCCAGCGAAAATTCATCGAACGCAAAACTTTGCACAATGAGTCTTTTTGCCACGGGAAGTCTATTTTTTGCCCCAAGACAGGCAATAATTTCCGCACAGATGGCACTTTCTTTTCTTTGATGTAAAAGTCTTGTATAGTCTGCCGTATAACGCATTTGTCAAAATCGTCAATTTCGCACTTATGATTAGCAGGGCTTTTACGTTTCTTTCCAGGCGTATTTAGAAGTTGATCTTCCCCCATTGTTGATACTTCGCGCTTAATTTTTTTAATTTGATACTCCGATACTCCAGTAGCTTGCGACGTTCTCTTCAAAACTTGAGGAAGAGGAACTACTAAAGAGTTCGCCGAAGCTTCAGAAGCGCAAAATTCTGCGACATTGTACACGATTTGACGTGCCTGAGACTTTAAAGGTTGACCTTTCTTAAACTGGAAGGGCATTTTAAAAAATTGGCGATTAACAAAGCACTATGAAAATCAAGCTAAATAGAAGCAAATTTGAACAAATACCAGTACAAAAGATATAACAACGAGAATAAAAATAGCTAATAATAATAATATAAGGCTTAAGAAAAGATGCGTGCAGCTGGAATTGAAACTGAAGAAGACGAATGATAAACTCTTTTACCTTCAGCCAAACAGTCGCCAAAAACAAAATAACAATAAAGCAACCCTTGGTTCGTCCCTATTTGAAATATACTAGCCCTGTTGCTATAGCGACCGCCACCCGCCAGACACCGTGGCGGGAGGTGTTCTTACCGTAGACAGACAGTACAGTACATATAAGTAATAATGTAAATATTATTATAATTATTGCTATAGATAACATATAAATATGTGAAAGTTATTCGTTTTCTGTAATGGTGCAGCAAAATTGTAATTTATTTAATTTAAAAATTGGGGATTTAAAATTTTTCTGTGGCTTTTGAACTGCTATTCATTTTATTAGATAGTAATTTAAATGAATTAAAAATGCATTTGCATAATGTTTGGAAGCTCTGAAATATTTATAGTTTTAAGGAAAAATAATTTTTTATGTCTTTTAATTTGCTAAATTATATTTACTTTTGTTAGTGAATTATTTATATTTCTAAATCTTTTCATTCCTTTCATTCCTCTCCTTCTCAAACTGTAAAGACATTTTTATGTTAATAAATAACAGCCTTTTTATTTACTTATTTCAAAACTTTCTTTTTGAGTGTATCCTAACAAATTATTACAATACAGTGTAAAAAGAAAAATGCACAAGATAACCTAAAAAAACATGGCATAGAAAAATTTCGTTAATATTTCTTAAAAAATAATATTTATTAAGTTATTAATCTTAACTGCAAATGAATATACGAATATAAAATACCTACCTTTCTAATAATAAATTAACAGTAGAGAAATTTGAGCATGCTCTCTCTTCATTCTTATTTCTGTAATTCTGAAAAGTCATTCGTCATCTTATAACGTATTTCTCCCGCCTTCTTAGCATGCCTTCGTGGTGTAGTGGTCTGCACGCTGGGCGCGTATTCAAGAGGTCCGTGGGTTTCCTCGCTCCTGGTTTAAAAAAAAAAAAAACCTAAAGTCTCTACAGTGGTGCCCGAACTAAAAGGGTGGTGAATGATGATTCTCCACAACCAGGAGTGGGCTATTGGATCCCCTAAAAACCCCAGTCACCTTTTAAAAGGGGGAGTATATGAGGTATTTCTCCCGCCTTCTTAGCGTGCCTTCATGCTGCGGTGGTTTGCATGCTGGGCGAGTGTTCAAGAGGTCTCCGGTTCGATTCCCGGCAAAGCCGTTGCTCATTTTTCATTTCTCCTGCTTATAAAGATACCTAATGTCTCTACACAGTTTGGAAGTAAAGGGGGCACGAGAGCCCACAGTCCTTTAACCTTTGACGTCAAACTGGTAGCTTCGTGGGAACGAAAATCTCCTGCCTTTTAGCTGTACAAAACTTTCATCTAGCTTAATAAGAGCTTTACCGTATTCAAACGAAAAATGAGTTTAAACAATAATATATTACAACTTAATTCTCAAATATTAACATTATAAATTTACTATTCACTGTAAACCAATATATTCACTATGAAATGTAAATTAATCCACAATTCCAAGTGTAAACTTTTCATTTTATGATTCTCAGGGACATGGATCATAATAAAGAGCAGATTTTTTGGGGTTATTATCAGTTCTCTTTTGGAACTTTACTTGAACTGAATTAAGGTGGTACGGAAGTAGTTTAAGGAAGATTCTACTGTTTACAGGAAAATTGGATGAATTAAAGTAATTTTAACGAATGAGTTTCTACGTGTAATTCAAATACGCATCTTCTATATGGTTTAAAAAATGGGCAAAAGTTTCGGTTGTCAATGAGGCACAATCACTTCATAAAATATGTGACTGACATTGTCTTATTCTGAAATACACACAATTTTTGTACTGTTATCATACTTTTGTAAATCTCAGAAATAAGAGCTCATGTATCTGCGAAATTATGTAACGCTGTTCATTTTTCATTTCTCCTGCTTCCAAAAAAAAAAATACCTAATGTCTCTACAGTTGTGCCCGAACTAAAAGGGTGTTGGATGATGATTCTCCACACCCAGGAGTGGGCGACTGGGTCCCCTAAAAACCCTAGTCGCCCTTTAAAAGAGGAAGTATATTAGGTATTTCTTCCGCCTTCTTAGCATGTAGTGCTACGAAAACCACTATACTACGAAGGTATAGTGCAGACCACTATACCTTCGTAGTATAGTGGTCTGCACGCTGGGCGCGTATTCAAGAGGTCCGTGGTTCGATTCCCGGCAAAGGCACTGCTCATTTTTCATGACTCCTGCTTCCAAAAATACCTAATGTCTCTACAATCTGACCTGTATTGTGCCATTATACACAGAATGCGATGAAATTTTAGCTTAGCATCCAAATATTAATCTGCTATATATCTGAAATTTAATTCGCCTGATGTAAACATTCTTGCAATGTAATTCGAAATGCAAACTGGTGTAAAAGATCTTTTGTAGTGCAATCTCACTCGCTTTTTTGATAATCTCTCTTCTCTTTGCTCGCTCTTTTTTGTTCGCCTTTTTTACATTCTTTCGCTTTCCTACAGCAACATGTTGCTGCCTTAAAAAAGTGTATTTTTCAAATTTATCGGATGTAAAGCGTTCTTTAAGAACACAGCGCTGTAGCTCCGATTTGTTTTGTATTCGATTAAATAAAAAATGTATGCCAGTTATGAATAAAAAGGAAATAACTGAATTCGCCGCGTCTGCAGGATACTGGTTTGTGCAACCATCTACCACGACAAGTAATTACAACGAACTTCTACCAATTTTATTATATATATTTATTAGTATGAAATCAAAATTTCATAATTTAAAATTTAAATTTTCATTAATTTTAATTTAGCTTTATACGAATAGACAATATTTGTTATATATGCTTATTTAACAGAGAAACTACTAAGTTATCGCGAACGGGCTGGCTGCATGGGTGTTTTCGTGGATTTCCCCATGTGTAACGTGTTTACGAGGCAGTTTTCCTTAGAAAGTCCTCCAAAGGCATCCCTCCCCTTAGGCAGATAGCCCTAGTGTGCTATGCCATAATTAAATACACCACTACACCACCACTCCATCCTTGTTTTGACTGACAGCGCCTGGGGAAGGGAATCTAAGGATTTTATTGCCTTCTTTCCCATACCACTAACTTGGTAAGATGACTTTCTGCTCTACCAGTCACAAATGCGACCATACCGCAAAAGCATTACAATCACAAATATCCATGCCTTACTCAGGATTCGAATCCTAAGCCAAGGACTTCGAAATCAGTCAGCCTTTGCGATCCAGAACTTGAAAAGAATAAACAAATGGAAAGAGACACAATAAAATACCAAATGGTGAACACAGGTATAGTCCTGCAGTGTTAATGATCTAAAGTAGTAAAGCTCGAAAAGGGGCAGGTAATTACTAGGAGAAGCAAGAGAGCTTAATGTGTGTCTGGTTCCTTCTTTGCGAGACCCCGCCAATGCTGCCCACTCAACAACAAGGCATTAGAGCTGCAGCTTGTGTTGAGAATTATATTTGTTACATTCATTGATCAGTAGCTACATCAAAGATACCCTGATGATTACATCAAGATCATAATTATTCATATTCATTTGTCGATGGTTGTATCAATCGATAATTAATGGTTTCATTGATTTAACCATCGGAGAATGAACGCAACTAAGAACGACATCTGTTGGTTCGGATAAATGGGCTTCTGTATATCATGCTCACGATTATATTCGCGAAACAACTTACGCTCTTTTTGAAGCCGTTTTGTTTGTTAAATCACCTGCACATTTGTGAACGTGTGCTAATGAGAGACGCAGTTTTGCACTCCTTGCCCCGATAAATTTCGTCGGCTTGTTCTGATGTTACTGTGAGACAAGTGAGATTGAGCTGTTAAAGTTTCAGCTCAACTTTACAACAGTACTTAAATGTAAACAATTTTATAGTTCTTAATTAATTCTGATAGTAAACAGATCCTGTTTACAAAAATGATTTGTAACGTGGGAATATCACGCCTGTTTCTAATGCAATATGTAATGTCCTGAAACATGTTGCCTGTACCCACTACAATAGATAACATCTTAAAATATGCACCTCAACAACTATGTATATCGCAATGTATATCAT